AGAGAGAGAGAGAGAGAGAGAGATTATGTGTCAATCATTGTGATTGGCTCCCCCTTCCTCCCCTTCTCTCCCCACTTTCCCCCTACCCTCCTGGTATGGGTACTTCCATTCCTGTCCCATACTGCTTTTTGGTTGGTATCCTCAGTTGTAATATTCTTGGTTTTTATCTAAGCATCATTGGTTTGTGATTTATCCTTTAGCCTATCTGTCACTGTAGGAGCAGGATTCCATTCCTCTAGAGGTGGGCCAATTAGACAGTACGTCATTGTGTTTGATATGTGATCTCTGGGAGTAGATGCAGTTCAAGTTTCAAGAATATCTTACTGGGATAGCCTGGAGGGCTCTTCTAGACTCAGCCAGTGCAGGGAGTTTGGACTGAAGGCCAGGGTTTCTGACAATGCAGAGACCACAGTTGTGGAAACAAGCAGCACAACATCCCCCATGGGTCTCTGGGCATAGGACCACTCCTGCTTCTATCCCTAGACTGCTAGAATCATAGGCATTTTTTTCCAACTCGAGACATAACATCATGTTGCAGTTTGATTCAGTGCAATTATTCCATTCAGTACGTTTGCCACGCATGGCTCAGTGCAATTACTACATTCAGCAAGTTTGCCACACACATCACGTGGTATCTTCTCCATCACTGATAGCCCCAAAGCAGAGGGTCTGCTGGCTCAGGTAGCCCCAGGGACTGACTGCTTGCGTCATCCCAAGCAGAGGGCCTTTCCTTCAGAGACCCTCCCTGCTCCAGGCACCACTAGAAGCGGGCAGATTTTTGGGTGTGTGTGTGGTGGGGGGTGGGGGTGGGGGTGGAGGGAGCGGGTATATGAGGAGGGCAGGGTTCCTAAGTGGAAGATGCCAGATGCAGTCACTTGGTTTTCACTTTGATGGGCTGTCCCATCATTTCCCTGACCACTCCAAAAGCAAGCCCAACTCACTGCCAGCAAGTTGATGCTGACTCACAGCGACCCGATAGGACAAGGTAGAACTGCCCTTGTGGGTTTCCAAGACTGCCACTCTTCCCGGGAGCAGAAGGCCCCAGGTTTCTCCAGCCCCTTGACCTAGAAATGCGGTGTCAAGTCCCTAAATCCTCACTGGGTTTATCTCCCATTCTCGAGCATTCATGTCTGGCTGAGACCTGCCTGCACACGTCATCTCCAGCTCATACTATTTGATCACCCTCAGCCATTGATATACACAGGGCTTGACACCCGTTTTTTGTGGTGTCCGATAGTAAATACTTTAGGCTCACTCTGTGAGTCATACGGCCTCTGTTGGGATGACCCAACTCCGCTGTTGTAGGGTGAAAACAGACACGGTGGACACGTGTGGGTGTAGCTGTGTCCCATTAAACCCTTACTGACAGATATGGAAAGTGGGGTGCTCTTGCCCTTTTGATCCGTGGTTCTTAACCTTCCTCATACTGTGACCCTTTCTTTCATACAGTTCCTCATGTGGTGGGGAGCCCAAACCATAACATTATTCTCGTTGCTACTTCATCACTGTCATTTTGCTACTGTTATGAATCGGGCGACCCTTGTGAAAGGGCCATTGGACCCCCAAAGGGGTTGCGACCCACAGGTTGAGAATGGCTGCTTTTGATCTTTTATTTTAAATCATTTCAGATGTAAAACCCATTCTTCCTTGTCAGATGATAGTATGTCCATGACATAAGAATGCATGAATCCCATTGAAAGGAGAGCTCAGAAAACAAAATAGAGTCCCTTAAACATGTGATAGAAATAAAATAAAAAACCCCAAGCAAACAATAGAAGAGTCAGAAATGAAGGTGATGAAATCACCTCCAAGGTAGAACAAAAAGGGAAGTAATTTTAAAACTTGGAAGACTTATCCAAGAGCTCTAGTATCCTCTTTATAAAGTCAGAAGAAAAGGACAGAGAAAAAGAGGTCGCATCATTGCTGAAACAAACCAAGGACATGTCTCAAAACTAACGAACATGAGTTTCCTGACTCCCTCTCATCACGGCCATCGGCAGGGTTTCTGGGATTACACAATCAAGAAAGTAGACCTATATAAGGGTTAGGCATTGAGCTGCTGACTGCATGGTTGGGGGTTCAAACCCACCAGCTGTTCTGAGGGAGATGAAGCTGTCTGCTCCCACAATGATTTACAGTCTTGAAACCCTACAGCGGATGCTATGGGTCAAACTGACTCAATGGCAGTGGTTTGGCTATGTTTGGGGTCAGGCACACTGCTGAGAAATGTTAGAACACCCAAAATACAAAGAGAGTCCTGTTCATTTCCGGAGAGAAAAGCATGGGTCACGGATAAGTAAGTAATAGCTCACGGTTCCATAAAAGCTGTTTGATGAACCAGCCTGGATTCATACAGAATGACTTCAGACTTCTCAAAGGGCAACACTGGTAACCGCAAGGCAGGGCAGCAATGCCCTCAAAATGTTGAAGGAAAGGATTTCCAACGTAGGATCTGAAACTCAGCTAACTTATCAATTAAGTTCTCGTTTTTTAAAATCCCGAGAAAGAAGTCTGATTGACCAGTAGGTGAGCCCTTCAGAAAGATGGCATTTCCCATGAGACCACATAGGGGATGGTGAGGAAACATCTGCCCAAAGAGGGCTTCTGCTTCCAGAAGTAGGGTGATGTCTGTGAGAAAGGTCTGGGGCAGCGCTTTTGGGGAACATGCTAAGTCAGCACCAAGCAATAGAAATATCATAAGATGCACATAAAATATAACAGCATGTCATTAGGTAGTGGGTGTTAGGTACCATTGGGTCAGTAACCACCGAGGGTGACGCAATACACAACAGAACAAACACACTGCCCGGTCCCATGCCATTCTCACTTTTAAAAATAAAGTCATTTTATTGGGGGCTCTTACAGCTCTTATAACATTCCATACATCCATTACATCAAGCACATTTGTACATATGTTGCCATCATCATTTCCAAAACATTTTCTATTTGAGTCCGTGGTATAAGCTCCTCATTTTTCCCCTCCCACCCTCGTGAATCCTTGATCAATCATATATTGTTATTATTTCATCCCTTACACCCTTCATTGTCTCCCTTCATCCACATTTCTGTTATTCATCCCCTTTGGGGGTGGGAGTGCTATATACCCCCTTGTGATGGGTCTCTTGTGATGGGTATCCCCTTCTCACCCTTCCCCCGCCTGACCATCGCCCTACCCTCATGATATTGCTACTCCTATACTGTTCCAGAGGGGTTCCTCTGTCCTGAATTCCATGTGTGCAGAGCTCTTATCTGGACCAGTGTGTGTTCTCTGGCCAGTTTCACATTCAAGCCCATTGTTGCAGCCACTGGGTCAACCCACCTCCTTGAGAAACGTCCCCTTCTTTTGCTGCCCCTCCACCTTCCCATGCGTGATGCCCTTCACGAGGGACTGACAACATGTTCGAAGTATGTAAGAGGAAAAGTCTCTTGCCTCTAAGGAGACTCAAGGCAGCGGTTCTCAACCTGTGGGTCGCAACCCCTTTGGGGGTCGAATGACCCTTTCACAGGGGTCGCCTGATTCATAACAGCAGCAAAATGACAGTGATGAAGTAGCAACGAAAATAATTTTATGGTTGGGGGTCCCCACCACATGAGGGACTGCATGGAAGGGTCTCGGCATTAGGAAGGTTAAGGAGCACTCTGGCTGCACTTCTTCCGAGACAGACTGGTTTGTCCTTTTGGCACTCCGTGGTACCTGCCATATTCTTCTCCAGCACCATATTCAAATGCACCCAGTCTTCTTCCATCCTCCTGATCCGGTCTTCTTCATTGTCCAACTTTCACTTGCAGAGGAGGCAACTGAATAGACCACGGCTAGGGTTGGGCGCACCTTAGTCCCCAAAGGAACATCCTTGCATGTGGACCCTCTAAAGCGGTCTTTTGTAGTAGATTTATCCATGTTGTTTTATATTTTCTAGTAGCCACATTAAAAAAAAGAGAAACAGATCAAATGAATTTTAATAATTTATTTCATTTCATCCATAAAATCTCACTGAAACATGCAAACAGCATAAACCATACCAAGGAGGGATTTACTTAAAAGATGTCTTTACTCTGCCTTAAGAATCCAGCTGATACGGCTTTTACACTCAGTACATTACAATTAGCCACATTTCCCGTGCTCACGAGCCACATGGGACTCCCAAAACTAAGCCCACTTCTGTCACGTTGATTCTGACTCATTGTGACCCTACTGCACAGAGTAGAACTGCTCCGTAGCCTTTCTGACACTGTGCATCGTTATGGAAACAGACAGCCTCACCTTTCTCCTTCAGAGTGGCCGGTGGGTTTGAACTGCTAACATTGTGGTTAGAAGCCCAGTGCTCAAGCAATTGTACCAATGGTGGCTCCTCACTAAAACTCACTGCCACTGAGTCAGTACTGACTCAGTCTCAGTACGGACTATAGAACAGGCAGTGGTGTAATAATCATTCATTAATTTTTTTATTAATCATTTTATTGGGCACTCTCGCAGATATTATAATAATCCATAATTCAATCAGATCAAACAATGATACCCATTAATTAATTCTTGGGCCTTTATCTTGGTGAAATATTTCAGCAGATAAGTCTTCAAGGAGGAATGTTTGGAACAAAGGGGAGACATATTGAAAGTTCCGAATCTTGCCAAATTGCCTGTTAGACCGAGGGCTATATTTCAGATTTTACCTGTGGAATAAGAGTCGCTGGGAACCCACACCCTTGGCCCATACCTGGTATTATCAGCCTTCACATCTTTTTGATCTGATAGGAGAATAATGATGCCGCCTTGGATTTTCAAGTTCATTTTTCTAAGGATCAGTGAAGTAAAAATATTTCCACCTCTCTATCTGTCTATTTTGTATTTCTTTGTAAATCACATCCTTTGCCACTATTTTGTACCCCCCCCCTTTTTTTGGTATTGATACACAACATCCCGTTCTATTTGTGTCGTTCATAATATCTTCCCAAAATATCTTTACTTCATCCCATGCCTTTCAACCTCAAGAAACCTTTTAGTGGATAGAAGTGTTAAACTTCCAGGAAGTAAAAATGTTTAGACTTTTTGTCTGGTCTTGGTTTTCTATGCTTCCCTATTTACTTCTAGTGCTTTTAGAAATTTTTTTTAAAGACTTGAACATTTTTGAATAAATCATTTTATTGGGGGCTCTTACACCTCTTATAACAATCCATACACCTATTGTTTATACTTAAATTTTACCCACCTGGACTGTGCTTTGTTACATTGTGTCACGTACTCTAGTCCCACGGGATTTGGTTGTTTTGTTGGCTTGTCCCTTTGGGATGTGGGGTTGTCGTCCGAGAAGTAACTTTGGTGCCTCTGCCTTCCTCACCACAGGGAAGCACTGGGAGAGTATTTGGATGGGAAAAAGGAGAGTGAGGAAGACCAAACCAGGAGCTACAAACAGAAAGAAGAGAGCAGACTGGTATGGACTGGGTCAGCCCGCCAGGCCAGTGAGCCGAGTGTGACAGCAGCCAGGGGATGGCGTTCCCTCCGTCTCTGGGCAGAAGGGCATTGGGCTCGTTCCCATTTTGATAGCTCTTTGGGAGGGAGCATTCTCAAGACGTCCTTGTATTTGTTTTCTGCTCTCTGTTCATGCTCTTTCTTTGCCTCATACACGTTTAATGGTAAGTCATTATTTCTGCAATAAAATCCAAACCTTTAGCCTGACATTGACGAGTTTTCTAGTTCTCACCGTAACTTTCCAACAGTGCACGTATCTCCTGTTGTGAGCGCCTCTGAGTCTTCCCTTTGGCTGGGTGGTCCCCCACTCACCTCGGGGAGGCCCTGTCCACCCCTGCTCTGGGCCTTTGCCTGTGCTTGTTCTCCTCTGGAAGGCCAAGTCCTCCCCCCTCTTTTCTTCTCCCTTCTTCTTTCTCCCC